CAGCAAAGTTTAGATTGCTGGTAAGATTGTTTGTATTAATAGTGTTGTCAAGTCTTTTTGTAAAGATTTTGGTAAGATATTTTTTAAGAGATTCGATAAGTGAAATCGGTCGGACTTGCTCTAGTGTAAAGTCCTATTTGTTCTTTTTTGGTATTAGAAAAATATTAGAGGTTTTCCAGTCAGTTGGGACTGTTTGGAGATATAAACATTTGGAGAGAAAAAAGCGAAGAATGTCTTGACTAAGTAGTGAGGTGTGTTTAATATGTTCATAGCTAGTATCAGAGAGTCCTAAAGCTTTTTGATTAGGTAATTGATTAATTGTTATTTGCCATTCATTTTGTGTGATTTCTGTGAGAATGTTATTATAAAGATATTCAAGCTCGGGGTGTGGCTGGTATAAGGTATAAAATTCTGAGTCAGGAGTTATATCTGGAAGTGGTTGATCTTGAAAATAGTTTTGGAAATGTTGTTGAATAGCAGATTTGATTTTTTCTGGGTTAGTAAGTAAGGAATTGTTAAGTAGAAGTCTGTCTAGTGACATATTGCTGCTAAATCTTTCTAAGACTTTTTTGTAAAATAATTTAGGGTTTTGAGTGAAATTAGTATTACATTCCTGTAATTTGTATTTAATTTCAGAGGCAGTATATTGTTGTTTTTCTTGTTCTAGAAGTATTTTAATTTGTTTAATTTCCAATTTAAGAATATTTTTTATAGTTGGGATATGAATAGGAGTTTGTATATTAGTAAGATTAAAGAGAGTATTGTTTGTGTATTTGTTATAATAGTTTGTAATTAGTTGAGGGAGTTTAGGAGATTTGATTAGTTTTTTAATTGTTGATATGTGTTTATATTGAAGTTGAATAAGTGTGGTTTGGTGTAAAAAGGATTAAGATTGTTTTTGATTTTAATTTTTTTGTAAGGAATATGTTTAAGGGAAGCTTTTGTAAAGGTTTTGTTAATAGTTTCCCAAGTTTTATCTAGTTCTACTTGGTTTTGAATTTGTGGAATATGTAAGCAAATTTTAGTTAAGTTTTGATCTATATGTGTTTGGTATTTTTGGATTTGTTTAGATGATAATTGTTTCCAAAGAGGGACTTTCCTAAGAGGTTGTATGTATGAAGAAGAAATTGTTAATAGAATAGAAAATTCAAGTAGAATAATATTGTGATCTAATTCTATTGTAGCATCTTCAATAATATCTGCATAGTCCAGAGAAGCTATATACATATTTGTCTATATTTGGTCAATTATACTATGACTATTATTGTGACTGAAGGTAAATTTTATAGAATTGGGATGAAAGAGACGAAAGGTATCATGCATATGAGGAGTAAGAAATTTAATAAGTTGTGATTCTGGTGTTTGTGTTCTTTTTGCTAGAGAATGATCTAGTTTGGGATTGGGTGTTGCATTAAAATCACCTATTAAAATTATTTTATAAGTAGTTTTTTGTATAAGTTTAATTATTTGGTTTGTTATTTCAGTTTTTAGTTGCTTTTTTTCTTGTATTGGAAAATAGACTTGGATAATACGAAGTGGATTGTTTGAAAGAAAGAGATCTAGACAGATAATATGTCCTTGATATTCTTGTATATATCCAATATATTTAGACAAGTTAGTGTGAATATAAATTTCAACACCTTCTTTTCTTGATATAATGGGTGGGCTCCAAAAGTTTAAAAAAATTAGTAAGGCTTTGTATAAGAGGTAGGAGATTACTTTCTTTTTCAGTTAGATGTGTTTCTGATAGACCAAAAATATCAATGTTATTTTCTATAATATAGTTATATATAAGTAATTGTTTAGAGTTAGTTGAAAGGCTATTAGTATTGAGTGTACAAATTTTGATAGTTTGAAAAGTTGATATAGCATTGTTGTTAAAAGAAGAATTATTTGGTTGTGTTTGAGAGTTATTATAAGAAGTATTAAAGGAAGATGAGGTAGAGGTAGAATCGGAAGAGGTTATTGACTTAATAAAAGAGTTATAGTATGCTGGAAATTGATATGGCGGTATAATTCTATGATTAATTAAGAGTTGATCATTAATATCAAGGTAAATATATGTTTCATGTATATATATATTGAGAGATATTTTATAGGGTTTGTAGAAGGATTGTTTTAGAAGATGATATAAAAAGAATTTAAGAGTTTGATTAGAGTTAAGTAATAGGAGGTTATGTTTTTTAAGAAATTTGTTATAGCAAGTTTTCTCAAAAGGATGTAATATAATGTTGTCTGAGGAGAGGTTTTTGTCTTTTACAAGGTCGCTCACCGTTTTAGGCTCAGCTCTCACAGCTGTACAGGTATCCAAAGTCTGCCCTGTACATTGGGTCTGACCGACATTATTTTGGACCTCCACATAAATAGGCTTATCCACCTGCCTACTTATATCATTCTCCTTATTAACTACAGAGAGTGTATCTTTTAATAAGGTGGTGGCTGCATTTATGTTGTTTGTAAAAGACAAAGTTAGAGAAAAGAATGATCTAAGAATAAAGATTCTAGATTAGTAATTTGAATAGGTTGGGAGTTAAGATTGAATTTTTCTTTTAGTATTTTTTCTGCCTCCGGATAAGCAAATTCTTTGTAGTATTTAATAGTTTAAGAGAAGGTATAAGTTTGTTTTTGAATATAGTCAAAATAGGTTATAATTCTAGCTAGAAAGTAGGTATCAACAACAGTATGAATAGCTTGAGTTATTGCTAATTGTTTAGAGTTGTTAGGTATATTGTGGTTTTCTAGAGCTATTTGATAATAAAGAGCAAGATATTTGTAAAAATAGACTCTACGACAGTTTGGACTTGTGGTGATATTGTTCTGTTTACAGACTGCTTCTTCAGCTGTCTTTGCTAAGTCTTCAAGTAGTTTAGTAAGTATGGTTGTTTTGAGAGTAGCTTTATAAGTTCTATCAATATGAAAGATAGATGGATCAAGAGTAGGTTCTTGAAGTATTTCTGAATCTTTTTTTGGGTATATTGTATAAGATTTATCAAGCATATCTTTGTATAGTTGGTCTCTTTTATGAAAGAATTTTTTTGTTAGATATTTACAATCTTTATCATTGCAAGTTAGTATATAATAATTTGTAGCTTTGGTAGCTTCGTGTTGATGTTGTAGTAGTTTATGTAGTTCTTGGAATTCAAAGTTAGATGGTAAAGATTTGCATAATTGAATAATGAATTGTCGGTGTATTTTGTTTTTAAGAATAAAATAAGTTTCTTTTTCATCAAGTGGAGTATTAAATTGGTATGAGTAGGCTGGAAAGAATTTGTTGAACCATTTTTTGTAAATATTTAGTGAATTTGTTAAGGGTGGAGTACAGAAGGTTTGTAGAAAAAGAGTTTCAGGAATATTAAATAGAAGTTGAATATTGAATTTTGAGTCTGATTTAATTTCAAAATATGGTTTGTCTTTATCTGTGCTTGTAATAGATAATTCAATTTTGGGATATTTAGATCTAAAATCAAAGTCTTCTTCAAATTTTCTGTAGTTTATAGATTGATATTTGTTTGAAAGATAGAGATGTAGTCGTGCAAGGTTTAAACAGAGATGAAGTTGGTTTTGTGTTTTGTAAGGTAAAACAGTGACAGGTGAAGCAAAGATTTTTTTGTAGTTAAGTTTGGTGAAAAGAACTGTAGTAAATTGTAAGATAATTGTGCAGAGTGTTGTTTCAAGATAGTCAAAAGGAATAATTGCATCTGGACTAATGTTTGGATTATATTCATGAATTAGATTTATTAAAAACTTAGGATACAAGCCAGCCATTGAACGAAGAAGATGTTTAAAGGAAGCTTTATAAGTTGGTTAGTTTTCTTTTTCTAGTTTAATTTCTCTTCCAGAAAAGAAGTTGTAAAGATGATTTTTAAGAAATTCAAAGAGATGGTAAGAAAATTTGGTTTGAAGTTTTTTGTTTGGTTCCATTTCTTAGGTAATTGGAAAGTTAAGTAGCCAATCATATGATGGATTTGGTTTAGCTTTAGGTTTAGATTCAATTGGTTGTTTTGAGTTAGGT